ATTTCTTATAAGCTTTCAATATACTCTTTTTGCATTCTAGAGATCTAAGACCTAAAAACCCTTGAAAAGCAACACATTCACACTTGTATTTCCATCAGACAGCTTTCTTAAATCATAGTGTCAATTCTATTTAGGACCCAAACACCCACCTCATATGCCACTGAAGTATGCCAATTACCGTGGGTAAGTTGGCATAGTGAAGAATCAGTCTATGTGCCATTTCCAGAGCAGCTAAGGAAAACATTGCTGTTTTCCTCATTTAGTAATGTGATTACCAACTTATATTCTCAAGTCATTAAAGACCGTCAGAAAAGCAAATCATGAATACCACCTCCCACATGGTATAATTGGGAAGTTACTAAGCAAGCAGAGAACAGAAGTCATGTATCTCAGAACATGGTACCTTACCAGTTGCAATGTATATTATCAGAATCAACTGATGCATTCTGTTAGGTGACTGTATTTCCCCGGGAGGACTGAGAATTCAAAATTGCATAAGCATCCACATACTTTACATATATTTGTATGTATTTGTATGTATGCCATGTTCAAAATGTCTCTTACATTCACATATGTCACAAAATATCTAATGAAATCTTATAGTAGCTGCAGTCAGGCCAAATGTTCAGGAATTCTGGAAGAGGTAAGGGTCGGAATGGTCAGGGAAACAACAGACCAGCTTCCTGACCTCCTCCTTCACATTAGGGACAGTTCTAGAGTGAATCAGAGAGCCAGGCTAGAAAGAAAGATGATGAAAGAAATAAAACTATTCTTGAAAAGAGTTATGTCTGCTAAAGCAAATATGGCGAACATTTAATTGGCTTAAGGCACCAGACTAGGTCCCCTAAGAATTATTTTTGAGATCCTAGATGGTATTGAAGTCGAATTCGGTCTCCACATGGAGTGTTGGTGCCAGCATCTTTATACAAATGAACTGCCTTTTATTCTTCCCATTGCCTTTTCCCTCTTCCAAATAACACCGACATATATACTTAATTCAGAAAAGCATGTTTTGGTTTAAAGTTCTTATTAAAGCTCAGAAAAAAATTACTAGTATATAATTCCGAGGTTCATAATTTCCCTTTAAATAAGCTATAGGTTAATGTGTAAAAACCCCTGTGGATTTTTTTCCTTTGTTTAAATAATATCCTGTAATTCAAGCCAATATACTTCACAATAGCATGTTAAAGGCAAATAGGAAAGCAGTTTAGCTCTAAATTAAGGTTTCTCCATCAGCATTTCTACTCACTCTGGATATTTTCTGATACAAAGCTTTGGTCTCTCCTTTCATGATGTTATTCTGCAGTAGTAAAGCAAGTAACCACAGCTTCATAATGCTAAGCACTCCAGTGGGAAACACAAACAGAGTGCATAAACCAAAGTATTCATTTCATGAGGTTTTATTAAAAGGCTTCACCTCTAAATTGAGCTGTCATACACTGTTGGGAAACTTTTTACCACAGTTTATTTTAACTATGTAAAACATTAAAGGAATGGAATTTCTTCAGCTTTTCATATAATGGGCATGACCCCTCTTACACACTACAAGCAATCTATACTGCATTTAATCAAATTGGCTGGAGAGTAAAATCAGGCCATATGTTTTTCCCACTTTCCCCAATTCTCAGAAATGACCCCAACCTCGTTAACATGCTGTAGATTTTCATGTACACCCAGCAAGTTCTTTGGCGTTCTTACTGATAGAGTATGCCGCATGATTAAAAGATATCCTTCAGATGAGAAGGACATTGGGTAATTTATAAATCATTCATTTGTGACACAGCTTTATATAGCATTTCAAGGAATTGTATTAACTGCTTTTGCAGTTTCCTCAAATGTTGCTTTCAGTTGACGGTGTCATAGGTCATTACTGATTTTTTCCTTATGTAAGCAATACCAACTTTCTATTAAAAATACTAATTTCCACCCTAGTACAGTGTCTTTTGAAGTAGCATATATATTAAAAAAAAATCAAGTTGCTTTGAAATATTAAAGGAATATATTTAACTGAAGGGTTTTCAGACAGGTTGTTTTTCTGTATTCCTGATGACAGAAAGATTTTAGCCTACAAAGTCAATAGTAAATTTTATTAAAGTCATTATTTTCCTGTTACAGGCCTTGTGCTTTAAATAAACTACAGCTGACAATGCTGTCTTACATACTGTCATACTGTAAAATGTCCCCTCTTTATTACCGCAGGGACAACTCATTTAGAACTTTGAAAGTGTTTTCACATTGGAGCTGCTCATTTGCAGAGCTGGCCTATGGCTGTGTTTAAAGAATGTGGTTGATACTTCTCTTTTCCTCTAAATATTCTAGGGAAAAATATAAACTTGCCAACACAACATTTTTTAGATAAAGATTAATGTCCTTTCTCCATAGATAAAATATATCTCAATCTTTCCATATTAGTGTGCTCTGACTACTTATGACATTATTTTTCCTGTTAGCCCACTGTGTATAAGCAAGAGCAAAGCACTTGATGTGTATATCACCTGTTTAGTTTTGGGGATTTTGAATTTCCTCCAAATTACATTCTTTAATAAATAACCCACCTCCTTTGCATCATCCTCTTGATCAACATAATCTTGATTATAGAGATGTATAATTGTCAGAAATTGAATAATCATCCAGAAAACATTTTAGGAAAATCAGAAGGAATATGTTTATAATTTGGGAGCCATGACATATCATTCCAAGTTGTGCTTATTTAACTCCTTGTATAATACACATTTTGTCCTACTGTCCTTTACCAGATATTGCATAATTTTTAATGAATTTTTATTTTCTTCTCCACATGTACCCAAACCTCTATCTACTAAGATTCTACTGTGAAGAAAAAAAGAACAGAAAAAAAGGAGAGGAAAATCAAAACAAAACAAAAAAACAACTTGCCTTTATGTTGGAAGTCAACGCAATCAATGCCACTAAATCCACAAGTATTTCCTGACCTCTTTTTCTGTTGGAAGGTATTTCTATAAAGTACATCTGTACTGTTTGGGGCTTTCAAAATAAAATGAAACTTTACCCCAAAGTCTTCAAACTCATGGCAAGAATGGCTAGAGTCTCCTTTCTTCCATTTGGAGAAAAGAGCAGAGCAGAAGAGGCCAGAAGCAGAGTTAACTCTCTGCAGAGATATGGCTTGTCCCCTCCTCTGCCCTCCAAATCTGGCATCATTTCATTTTAGCTCATGCTATACTCAGACCCACAGGAAAAATGAGAAGATGTGTGTAAACCCTGTCCTAGACTAATAAAGACTTGATCAATGGCAAGTCTTTGATTTCAAATCCAGTTCTCTCCTGTTCGATCTTCAGACAGTAATCTTTGCTGCTTGTCTGTGCCTACATTCGGATCTTGCTGGTGTCTATTTCTGCAGCCTTTTAGATCAGGTAAAACAGAATGGAGACCATAAAATATTCTCTCTTTGAAAGATAAAATAATTCATTTCATAAAATACTGTAAATAAGTAGCTAATAAATGTCATCCCTATAAAAGGAGAAATATTTTTTAATTAACAAACATTTACAATTTTTTCTCAGTTTACTTCTTCAGTCTTTTGCTGTGACAGAGCTATATTTAGTTTGTATTTAAATCATCCTCACTCCTCACTACACACACACACACACACACACAAACACACCCAGAAACACTCACACATTCCACATACACACATACATATTCAACACAACCCATAACCTAGTCAATAACTATGACAAACTTGAATCTTCCCTATCCCTTCTACACAGCCTAGAATCCCAGCTAAACCACAATCACTGGAGTTCCTTATACCACATGGTGTGAACCTAGATGGTATCAAAATGCCTGATTTGTGATGTGTGTGTTACTGTTCACTTAAAAGTGCTTTTACTACATTTTCTTATCAATGGAAAACTTTCAAGGTATTTAAAAGCAATGCCTTTAAACATTCTGGCTGCAATAAAGCAAAAATGGCAGGTGGCTATATGAAAGAGGTAGAATACATTTAAAGGAAATCACTCATAGGGAAAAGGTGTAACATTGCTTAGAGTTTATTTATATACTTTCTACTGGGAAGAATGTGTTTTGGGGTGATGTGGGATTCTTTCCATTTGCCCAGTGAGAACATTAGCTGTTTTATAGAGCACTGTTGTTATTTTTAAGAAAGATGGAAAAATGAAACATTAGAAAATCTGCCTAGCAATACGAACTGAGTTCAGCAATGTAAATAAAAAGGCCAGAAAGCTAAACTTAAAATCCACAAATTACTTAAATAGAAAAGATTAAAATGCTTTACCATTAGACAACATTTTGAGGACTAGAGGGAGAGGGAACCTAATGTTTATGAAGCAAGACTTCTCACTAATTAAGGAAAAGGAGAAAAACAGATTGTACTTGCTACCCTGAGCAGGTAATCTAATGTGACTAATGCACACTTGTTTAAGGAACAGGAAAATGATGCTTTGACATTCAGGGAAAACAACAACAATGACAAGGTAACTGTTCTTAATATAAGTCACCAAGACAAATCTCTAAAACCTGTTACGGTGAGAAGTTAGGTTTGGAATAAAACAGAACAAATAATATAATTTGCCTCCCTTCAACCTGGAAGTTTCCATTTTGCTTTCTTTATGGAGCGTCACTGTCACTCTTGCATTCAGTGCATTCGGTGGCAGTTGGGGACCTCTAAAGGACCATGTGTCAACTAGATAAAACTTTTAAATTATACTCATTAAATTATACTCATTAGAGGTAAAAATTCCCAAAATTTACTACTCTCTAAAACACAAATTATTTATATTTAAGACTTAGTCTTAAGTGCCATCTAAGTATGACAGTTGAATTGATAAACAATTTAGAAAAATGACCAATTTTTACCATGGAAGCTAAGATTGTATCTATAGACAGTAAAACCTCTATTGGAAAACGTTTGACCCATTGGCACTATGTCACAGATTCTTAGAATTTTAGAGCTGGAAGGGAAGCGCTCCCACAATACCTATGAAGAATCAAGACACTGGCTAGAAGCAGAATTTCCCTCAGTGCCTAGTACCTATCAGCTAAGGTACAGATGGGAAAAGTTTTGACATAATTGAATCTCCACATGGGTGTCCAAAATTGTAGGAATTAATTCATTTTTCTATATGATTGTTGTTTCAACCTAAGTACCTCCTAAAAGTGAGGAAATACACATGGCCCCAGAGACAGGAGAGGAAGAATGAAATTTCTCAGATGTTTTAAAGCAAAAATAATATTGAAAGCTTGTGTTTGAGAATGAAATTAATCCTCACTCAGCCATCCTGTGTCTGTAATGAATTCTGAGAACCCTGAAAACTCTACATTTGAAACTTGGGCTTTCAGATTTTCATGTGGGTATATTTGTCAAAGTAGATGGATACAACACAGGGTATTTATGTGTATTTAGGAGTTTGCTAGGTTTATTTTTATTTATTTTTTAGAAGATTTTTTTCTACCTATTTGAAAGAGAGAGAAGAGATTGAGAGAACGAATGGGGGAGGGGCAGAGGGAGAAGCAGACTTCCTGTGGAGCAAGGAGCTGGACACAGGACTGGATCCCAGGACCCTGAGGTAGATGTTTAACCGACTAAGCCTCCCCTCCCCCCAATTTTATTTATTTATTTGAAAAAAATATTTTATTTATTTATTTGAGAGAGAGGAGTTTGCTAGCTTTATATAAAACTTTTATTCTTTAGATAAACAGTATGTGGGTTTCACAGATGTTAGGGGACAGGCTGGTAAATAGGTTAGAAACTCTAGAAACTCTTTTTCTCACTTGTTAACATAGAAAATTCCCTCTGAATAATTTTGGACATGATAGATGCACTCTAAAATTTCATTTTAAGGGGCACCTGTGTGGCTCAGCCCGTTAAGCATAAGACTCATAATTTTGGGGCGCCTGGGTGGCTCAGTGGGCTAAGCCGCTGCCTTCGGCTCAGGTCATGATCTCAGGGTCCTGGGATCGAGTCCCGCATCAGGCTCTCTGCTTGGCAGGGGGCCTGCTTCCCACTCTCTCTCTCTCTTTCTCTCTCTCTGCCTGCCTCTCTGTCTACTTGTGATCTCTCTCTGTCGATTCAATAAATAAAATCTTTAAAAAAAAAAAAGACTCATAATTTTGGCTTAAGTCATGATCTGAGGGTCATGGGATCCAGCCTCTTGTCAGTCTACACACTCAACATAGAATCTGCTTGAGATTCTCTCTCTTCCTCTCCCACTGCCCCTCTCCTCACTTGTGCGTGCTCCCTCTATTAAAAAAAAAAAAAAATTTCATTTTGAAACAACATGGAGGTGGCCAAGGAAAGAAACTCCTGAAAGGATTTGAAGGAATAGTAACTCCTGCTTAAGATGATAAACAAAATGGAGTTAACAGCAGATTGAAAATTGCAGGGGAAAAAAAAAAATAACCAGAGAGCTAGAAGACATAGCAATAGAAACTTTCTATAATAAAACAAAAGAGAAACTATAATTTAAAATATATCATAAATGAGCTTAGTGACAACTTCAAATAGCCTATTGTGCATGTAATTGAGGTCTAAGAAGAAAAGAGAAAAAGACCTGAATAATTAATAATAATTTTCCAAATTTGAGTAAAATGGTAAAGTCAAAGATACAAGAACCTCAGTGAACAAAAACTACAAAGTAAGCACAAAAAAATCAAAATCAAATACCTCAAAACTAGTAATAGAGAGTACATCTTAAAAGAATACAGAGGAAAAGACTATCTTATATATGAAAAGCAAAGTTCAAGACAGAAGTTACTCACCAAAAACAATGCAAAGAAGAGTGGAAAACCATGTTTGAAATAGTCAAGTTCACCTTTAAAGTATGAAAAACAAAACCAAAAACAAACGAACAAGGGTCCAAACCCTGTCAACCTAGAATTCTAGACCCAACAACACATATTTTAAAAATAAAGACAAAATAAAGAATTTTGTAGATATAAGAATAGCAGAAAGAGAATTTTCAAAGTCGTTTCAAGAGAAAGAAGATAAAGCATAATAGAGATATGGATCTACACAAATGAAGGAAGAGAACCCAAATAGTAACTACATGGATAAATATATAAAAGTTCCTTCTGACTACTTAAAGCTCTTAAAAAGAGAATTTTCTAAAAAGCCATATACAACTTACTTTTAAAAAAATCGCTGAAAAGACATCAAGAGAAAATTAGAAAGTATTTTAGTTGAAATGGAATGAAAACACCACTTAATCAAAATTTATACGATTCCTTTAAGGTAGTAGTAGAGGAAAATTCACAGCAGGGAATGCCTACATTGCAGAAATCTCAATTCAAAGATCTCACTTCTGTCATAAGGAACTAGAAAAAAGAACAAATGAAACCCAAAGTAAGCAAAGGAAATGTGGAAGACAATGAGATAGAAAACAGAAAAACAGGAGAAAAAAATAAATTAAACCAAAGCTGGTGTTTTGAGAAAATTCAATTAAATTAATAAACCTATAACCAGACTAATCATGAATAAAAAGAAACTAATATTGGGGATGAGAGAGATGATATCAATGCAGATTATACATAAATTGGAAGGATAATAATATTTTGAACATCTTTTCTTTTTTTTTTTAAGATTTTATTTATCTATCTGACAGAGAAAGAAAGAGATCACAAGTAGGCAGAGAGGCAGGCAGAGAGTGGGGGAAGCAGGCTCCCTGAAGAGCAGAGAGCCTGATGGCGGGGCTTGATTCCAGGACTCTGAGACCACGACCTGAGCCGAAGGCAGAGGCCCAACCCACTGAGCCACCCAGGTGTCCCAAACATCTTTCTGACCAGAAAATTGGACAACACAGATAAAATGGACAATTCCTTGAACAATACTTTTGAATCTCACTCTAGAAGAAAATAAATAAAATAGCCATACATCTATTAGATATTTGAAATTATATCTTAAAATTTTACTACAAAGAAAATTCCAGATGTCTTCATTGGTAAATTCTACCCAAAACATCAATTTTACAGAAAATCTTCCAGAATATTGAAGAGGAGGGAACTCATCCCTATGAAGTCAACATTATCCTAATAACATACCAGACCAAAAAATAAAAAAAAAAAAATGTACAAAACAACATCCTTCTTGGGTATAGATGTGAATATGTTAAACAAAATTTTAGCAAACCAAATTCAACATTATTTAAGAAGATAAATACCTCATGACCAAATAGGTTTTATTTTAAGAACTATTTAGCATTTGGGGAAAAAAAAATCAATATGAATCAATCCCATTCAGCATGTTAATAGACTGAAAAAATAAAACAGATTGCATCTCAATAAATACAGAAAAAGCATTTGACAAACTGCAACATTCATTTTTGATTAAAACTCTCAACAAATTGGGAATAGAAGGAACTTCCTTAACCCAATAAAGGCCATTACAAAAAAAATCACAGCTAACATCCCACTTAATGGTGAAAGACTGAACACATTTTCTCTAAGAACAGCAACATGACTAGATGTTCACTCCTACTACTGTTCTTCAACTTCGCAAGGGAAGTTTTAGCCTATATTTTAGGTCAACCCACAAAAATATGAAGAATCCAGATTAGAAAGTAATATATAACACTCTTTATTCATAGACAACATATCTTCCATTTAAAAATCTGATGAAGGAGAACCTGGGTGGCTCAATTGTTAAACATCTGCCTTTGACTCAGGTCATGATCCCAGCATCCTGGGATTGAGCCCCACTTCATACTCCCTGCTCAGTGAGAAGCCTGCTTCTCCCTCTCCCGCTTTCCCTGCTTGTATTCCTTCTCTCACTGTCTCTTGCTCTGTCAAATAAATAAAATCTTTAAGAAAGTAAAAATAAAAAACAAAAATCTGATGAAATCTATCAAAATCTTAATAGAGCTATTAAGGTAGTTTAGCAAGGCTGTAGGAACCGAGATTGACATACAGAAGTCAATAGTATTTTATACATACCAGCAACAATCAAAAATGAAATTTAGAATTACCATTTCTTTTAAAGATTTTACTTATTTATTTGCCAGAGAGAGAGTGAGAGTGAGAGAGAGAGAGAGAGAGAGAGAGAGGACACAACCAGGAGGGAGCAGCAGGCAGAGGGAGAAACAGGCTCCCAGCTGAGGAAGGAGCCTAATGTGGGACTCTATCCCAGGACCACAGGATCTGACCTGAGCTGAAGAGCCACCCAGGCGTCCCCCCAAAATTATCATTTTTAATAGGATAAAAAATGAAATACTTAGGAATAAAGTTGACAAAACGTGTGCAAGACCTAAAAACTGAAAACTATAAAACAGTGCTGGAAGAAATTAACGAACTCCTAAATAACTAGAACAGTCATTATTATTTATTACTGTCATGGGTCAGGAGACACATTATTGCTATTATGTCAGTTTGGTCTGAACTTACCTGTCGATTCAACACCAAATCAAAATCCCACCAAATGTTTTTATGGAAGTTGACAAGCCAATTTTAAAGTTTAAATGGAAATGCAAAGGTTTTAAAATAGCCAAAACAATTTTGAAAAAGAAAATGAAATTTGGAAGACTAATACTACTTGATTTCAAGGCTTTTTTATAAAGTTACCATAATGGAGAGAGTGTTATAGTGATATAGTATAGGCAAATAGATCAGTGAAACAGAATAGGGAATTTATTAGGAGACACACACATAAGAACTCATTTTCACAAAGATAGAAAGGGAATTTAACAGAAAAAGTATAACCTTTACAAACAAATTGTGTTAAAACAGGGGTATTCATATGCAAAAACATGAACTGCAATCCATACCTAGTACCAGATACAAAAACTAACTCAAAACTAATTGTAGACCTAAAATGGTAAAAATTCTAGAGGCAAATAGGAGAAAAATTTTTGATTTTGGATTAGGCAAATATCTCTTAAGTATGACAACAAAAACAACTCACTGAGGAAAAATAATGATAAATTGGACTTTATCACAAAAAAAAATCTGCTCTTTGAAAGACATTGTTAAGAGAATGAAAAAGAATAAGGTTAAGATAGGACTAGCAGAAAGTATTTGGAAAATGTCTATCTGATAAAGAATTTGTGGCTAGAC